TATGATAAAGGTTTGCTGAAACAATGTGTATCCTACCATTTCATCAATTTTCCTGAGGAGTGGGGAGCGAAGGAGCTGTTCTACTTTATAAGGAAGACAGTGAAAGCAGGTAGACTCTGGGATATATTCATTCCGAGTAAGAGGGATAGAAGAGGCAACATATACGGATTCGCCAGATTTTTGGATGTCAGAGAAGAACAAGAGATGAAGAAGCAACTGGAAAGCATAAGGATTGGAAACAAAAGGGTGATCTTCAACCCAGCTGTGGAAAAAGGAGAAGAGAAACGCAGATGGCAAGCAAAATCAGTAGAGGAAGTAAGATGGAAGAGTAGCAAAAAGAGGACCGGTTACGAAGAAAGCACCAAGGATGAAGAAGAAAACAGGAAAGCTCCAAAGATGACATATGCACAAAGCCTTTTACAACAAAAAGAGAAGGCTAACATTAGTGATATAGATCTGAAGGGCCCTACACCATCAGAGGCAAGAAATTACAGGAGGAACTCAAGCAGAGCAATGGCTAAGGCTACGATTCCGGGAGGATTCAAATACAAAAAAGTGATCGAGATAAAAGGGACAGAGGAGACTGAAGAAAATTTAATGAAGTGTGCAGTAGGAGTGGCTCTATCTCCTTCCATCATCTCAAATCTTCCAGAGATATTTTTTAATGAAGGATTTCCTTCGATCAAAATAACTCCCATGGGCGGTAACCTTGTGCTGATAGAAGAGGAGTACCCGGAGTGTATAAAGGAGCTAGTTGATGGGAACTTACAGTGGGTGTCATCCTATTTCGAAAGGATTAAGTACTGGTCTCCAACAGATATTGCAGAAGAGAGATTTGTGTGGGTCAGAATTCAAGGATTACCATTGCATGCTTGGACAGAAGAAAGCCTAACAACAATTGGTAACCATGTGGGAAAGAGCGTCAAAGTTGATGAACACACCCTTTCCAAAGAATGTTTGGATGTAGCGAGAATATTAGTCTCTACTAAATCTAAAACAGGGATTAATGAAGAATTCTTGCTCAAAGTGAAGAATAATAGTTACAACATCACTTTAGTGGAGGAAAATTGGAGAGCTGATCCTTGGTGGCTGAACAAGATTGATAATTCCAGTGTTGACTCAGAAGTAAGCTCAACGGCATTCAATTTTGGTGACGATTCTGGCGAGCTTGACGGCAACTTTTCAAACGGTCAAGAGGAGGAGGAAATTCAAACACCTTTCAAAAATGTCAATGGCATTAATTACCCTGACAATTTGTGTGTCTCAAAGATAGTTGTTGAGGGGTGCAAAGATAATGGTGACGTGCTGTCTAATCATATTCAGGGGAAACAGAGAGAGGAGCGTGCAAATGGGAGCCATACCAGCTTCAGCAGAACTCCAGCATCAGACAAAGGGGTTGTTCAAGAAACAGCCCAATCCAAAAGCCCACCTACTAGCAAAAACAAGGCCCATTCGGCCGAAGGAAAAAGCGAAGCGGACCAGCAAGAGGAGTTTGGGCTTAAAATGCTAAATAGCCCTATCAAAAGTCCCAGGATACCAGAAGAAATGAGAGCAGAAACAACGATGCTAGTGACAGGAACGAGGCGCGGAAGAAGAAGAAGAGCAGTGCTACAGCTGGTCAGTCTTGACAGTACATCCCCGAGAGGATCAATATCAGATAGTGACATTATGTGTAACAACAAAAGGATCAAGGAAGGCTTGGTATTAAATGAGGCGAAGAAGACGCTGGAATTTGGGGGCAATTTAGGGATCGAGATCAGCAACAGAGAAGAGCAGATTGTGGAAAGATTCAACCAGATGGAAGAAAGGGACAGACGGGGGCATGCCCGGCAATAATAACGGTAGGCCCTTTCCTTAATTTTCAGAAAATTCAGCAATGAAGTTGATCTCTTATAATGTGAGGGGGATAGGTAGTTCAATCAAAAGAAAAGAGGTGAGGAGTTTGATTAGAAAGGAGGAAATAAATTTAGCTTGCTTCCAGGAAACAAAAATGGAAAGAATTGACAAGGATTTTTGCATGTCTATTTGGGGAAGAGATAATTTTGACTGGGTATATAAGGCATCAGTGGGTAGATCAGGAGGTCTACTATGTGTGTGGGATAATGACATTTTTGTGAAAGAAACAGTTATTGAAGTTCCTGGCGACTTAGCTATCTATGGCTTTTGGGGAGAGAAGAAGCAAAAGTGCTGCATAGTGAATGTTTATGCATCATGTAACAGGAGTGAAAGGCTGGAAACATGGATAGAGATATTGAAGATGATTGAGGAAGGAGAAAATTACTGGTGCATCGCTGGAGACTTTAACAGTGTGAGATCAGCAGAAGAGAGAAGAGGCAGATCTGAGCACTCTAACTACAGGGAGGATCTCAACGAATTTATTGAACTAGCAGGATTGGTTGATCTACCACTAACAAGAAGGAAATTTACTTGGTACAGGAATGATGGGTCAGCAAGGAGTAGGCTGGACAGATTTCTCTTATCTGATGGTATGCTTAATTTCTGGGGTGATTGCTGCCAAATTGGACTTAATAGAACTATATCTGATCATTGTCCAGTGATGTTAAAGAAGGTTAATAGCAATTGGGGCCCAAAACCATTTAGGACCTTAAATTGCTGGGACCGGCATCCAGAATTCATCAAAGTGGTTGAGGAAAACTGGAAATCTACAGAGGTGGAGGGATGGAAGGGTTATGTGTGCAAAGAGAAGCTTAAAAGATTGAGGAATAAATTGAAGAAATGGAACAGTGAAGTCTTTGGAAGTTTTGAGAATCAAATTGCAGAGGCAGCAGCAAAAATCAACGAAGTTGACAATAAGAATGAGGACGGAGAAATAACAGAGGAGGATATCTTGCTAAGAAGGGAAGGTTTTAGTGAATTATGGGAAGCATGGCAAAGAAGAGAAGTGGCATGGAAACAAAAGACAAAGCTCGACTGGGTACAGCAAGGAGATGTTAATTCCAAGTTATTCCACAAAGTAATGAACAGTAACAGGAGGAGAAAATTGATTCGGGGCATATACAAAGATGGAGCTTGGATAGAGGAACTGAGTGTGGTGAAGCAGGAAGTGCGTGAATACTTCAATAAAATCTTTCAAGAAGAGCAATGGGATAGGCCAAAACTGGGAGGGCTACAGTTCAAACAGCTAAATGAAGAAGATAGCGTTTGGCTAGAAAGAGAAGTGTCATCAGAAGAAGTGAAACAAGCAGTGTGGGATTGCGGGGGAGACAAATCTCCTGGTCCCGATGGATTCAGTTTCCATATTATCAAATCCATTTGGAATGTGATTGAGAAAGACATAGTTGATTTTGTCCAAGAGTTCTTCAGGAATGGCAAAATAGTAAGGGGGCTAAACTCTTCATTTATTGTTCTTATCCCAAAAAAAGATAATCCTATTGATTTAAAAGACTACAGACCCATCAGCCTGATTGGTAATCTTTATAAAATCTTATCGAAGGTGCTGGCAAATAGGATTAAGAAAGTACTACCCAAGGTGATAAGCGGGACACAATCAGCCTTTTTGGGAGGAAGACAGATCACAGATGGTATTCTGATCCTTAATGAAGTGGTAGAGAAAATCAGGAGGAAAAAGATTGGTAGCTTCATTTTCAAAGCAGATTTTGAAAAGGCATACGATAGCGTGAATTGGGTTTTCCTGGATGAAATGATGAGAAGGCTTGGATTTGGGGAAAAATGGAGATTGTGGATTAAGGAGTGTCTACAAACAGCTTCAGCATCAATGCTTGTTAATGGAAGCCCAACGGAAGAATTTAAAATGGAGAAAGGGTTAAGACAAGGTGACACGATTGCGCCGTTCCTCTTCCTTATTGTGGCTGAGGGTTTGAATGTGCTAATCGAATCAGCTGTCAACAAGGAATTATTCCAAGGAATTCCTGTAGGCTCCGGCGGTCTTAACATCTCACATCTCCAATTCGCTGACGATACTGTTATAATGGGGAAGGCAGACCCTAGCAATATTAAAGCAGTGAAAGGGATTTTGAGATGGTTTGAATTGATCTCAGGCTTGAAGATTAATTTTAACAAAAGTGTCTTGTTCTCATGCCATGTTTCGGATGAATGGAGGAGAATGGCAGCTGCTAATCTTAATTGCAAATCTGGATCGTTCCCTTTCACCTACCTCGGGATGCCAATAGGTGACAGTATGTGTAGAAGAAAGCCTTGGATACCAGTTATTGATAACTTTAATAAAAAGCTGGCAGTTTGGAAAGCGAAAAGCCTGTCGATCGGTGGCCGAGTTACATTGCTAAGGTCTGTTCTCTCTGCCCTCCCAATTTATTTTATGTCCATCTTTAAAATTCCTAAAATTGTGCTTCATGAACTTGTTTGCTTACAAAGAAAATTCCTGTGGGGTTATACGGAGGAGAAGAATAAAATAGCATGGTTAAGTTGGGAGAAAGTTTGCAAGGGTAGAAATGAAGGGCTTGGTGTGCCGGATCTGGAATGTATGAATATAGCTCTATTAGGGAAGTGGTGGGATAGATTTGGGAAGGAAGATAATAGTTTATGGAAGAGAATTATTGTAGATAAGTTTTATGGAGGAAGTAAGGTGTGGGATATTAAAGAAGTTCAAGCTAGGAAGGCTTCCACACTATGGAGAAATATAGTGGCATTAGGAGATGAAAGGGGTAGAGGTGCTCGGATGTATAGAGAAGGATTCCGCTGGAAGTTGGGGATGGGTGATAAAATCAACTTTTGGAAGGACAAATGGGTAGGAATTGAAACTTTGAGGGACTCTTTTCCTAGGTTATTTAATCTGGTCTCTAATAGGAATGCCAAAATTATGGAGGTGGGTCATTTTTCTAATGGAGCATGGGTCTGGAAAAATATTTGGAGACGTGAATTTTTTGGCAGGGAAAAGAATGAAGAACAAAGATTAAAGGAGATTCTTAAGAG